TAAAAGTGAGGCATTTCAAATGCTAGGTACTCAAAGGGAAAAAGAAAGGCCCTTTACATGAAATTATTTATTTATTTAGGTACTCTTCTGAAGGACGAATCCTACGAAAACCAAAGGAAAATGATACATATAAGATTTGAAGATGAAATGCCTTGATTATAACATTTGCATCATTCAGTGGAATCAAAATCCAGGTTGTTATTAGTGGGGCCTAGCCACCATTACTTTTCTACATATCCTGGGTGGTACTATATATGACACTTGCCATGGACCTTTTTTTACTATGGTGTTTTATTTATATTGATGTGTTTATTTTATTTGAGTCGTATAAATTGAATACTTTTTCTAGGTAATTTCTTTCTTGCATGTGTGTGATCTGATTTCACTAGGCTCTTTAAAGACTAAAACTTTTTTACTAATAATTAAAAATTAATATTTCATAAATTAAATAACATAAAAACTTAATGATATAAGGAATAATCAGAATCATCCAGGGTCGTATGCATATTATTGCATTTCTCTTCTCCCTTGCTATAAGGCATTTCCTCGCCTACGGATAGAGTCTAGATAATCCAACCTATGAAAATAATTTACTAGATATAGGAAAGTATAGTCTTTTTTAAAAAATTATTTTTAAGCATTTTTAACTTTCAAGCATACATGATTTGAAAACCTTTATATTTTCTTTATTATTGTACTTTATTTATGATGTGATATACATAATAGATTACCCATAAGATTAGGGGCAATCTTGATACTGACGATGTTTTCTGTAGGTGGTCATGTTCATACAACACTAATAAAGGTAACTAAAATGATAAATTATAATTATATAATTACTTATTACATATGCTCCAGATGCCTAGCCCCTAAAAATAAATAAGAGCATGACCAAGTGTGAGTGGCAAAGTGTATTTTATTTCTATATATAAACTTCTTGGGATATTTTTATTTAATTGCTTAGGATAATTATGCACGAGAGTCTAAATTTTTATTTTCCAAAATATAAATTGATGTATTATATCGAGTTATGAAAGTCTTTAAAAGTGAGGTATTTCAAACACTAGGTACTCAAAGGGAAAAAGAAAGGCCTTTTACATGAAATTTCTTATTTATTTGTGTACTCTTCTTAAGAACGAATCCTATGAAAACCAAAGGAAAATGATACATAGAAGATTTGAAGATGAAATGTTTTACTTTTAAGATTTGCATCATTCAGTAGAATTAAAATCCAAGTTGTTGTCAGCGGGGCCTAGCCGCCATTACTTTTCTACATACCCTCGATTGTACTATATATGACACTTGCCATGAACTTTTTTTATTATGATAATTTATTTATATTGATGTATTTATTTTATTTGAGTCATAGAATTTGCTTGTTTTTTCTAGATTTCTTTCTTGCATGTGTGTGGTCTGATTTTGCTAGGCTCTTTAAGGACTAAAACTTTTTCTATTAATAATTAAAATTTAATATTTCAGAAATTAAATAACATAAAAATTTAATGATATTGAAAATAGCCATAATCATCTAGGGTCGTATGCATATTATTGCATTTCTCTCCTCCCTTACTATAAGGCATTTCCTCTCCTGCGGGTAGAGTCTAGATAATCTAACCTATGAGAATAAGGTACTAGATATGGGAAAGTATAGTCTTTTTTAAATTTTTTTAAAGCATTTTTAACTTTCAAGCATATATGATTTGGAAACCTTTAACCAGCATACATTGCATTAGAAATCAATTAAATTAAAATTTTAATTGCATTAATTCTAAAAGCATTATACCCCACATAAGTATAAGGTCACTTAGAAAAATTTTTAGACGTCAGTCTTACTTCAAAAAATTGAGCTATCCATCAATCTTTCATAAAGACCATACATCATGGATTTTATACGTTTATGTCATTAGCTTATATTTATTTTCAAGTAGGATATAAGTCCAGAATGCATTAACTATGACACTGGTGTTAGTGTTGGGTATAAAACACTAAGCTTATCTTAGATTTAGAATTCAAGACTATTACATTCAGTGTCTTATTGTATGCCTTATTTATGGGTAAGTTCCTTATTCTTTAGGGGCTATTAATCATGCTTATCTGCGTCACATGGATGACACCACTTTAATCTTTCTCTCTTATCTACTTTGAGTGCATTGTTCATTTTTTTTCTCCAGTTTCTTCTCATTATCTTAGTCCCTCAGGATGTTGATGTGAGTCATGTGTGTTGACTAAGCCAATTGAACCTTTCTTTCCCTTAGAGTAGGAACTTCCTAGTCTCCTCCCTATATGCCAATCCCATTTGAGAGGATAATATAAGATCCTTAATCGAGAGTCTTCTCAAGCCCCGATTTGAGATGTAATTAACCACAGTGACTTGCGCCCATGGAAAATCGAATTCCACCATCAAATAAACTCCACACAAGTTGATGTATCGGGTGGGGGAAACCCCCTGATTCTGATCAAGTTGTGCATATTATTACCCATCAAGGTGCATTGATGAGAGCTGTTATCCTCAATGGTTAATCGTATGTACGATCTAATTTGTCCTTCCATGAGCCCGCTTGCAAATAACATAAAGGCCTGCGATCGTTGTGTCCTTCGGGACGGTGTGATCGTATACCCGTCACATTCTATCCCCGCTGAGCGGTACCCTTTCGGAGGTCCATAATAGAGTAAGCAATATTGCTCGATGATATGTTTTTTTTTTCATAACGAAGCCTGATGCGAAGTATAATAAAATCATGCAGTTCTGTTGAACGTCAACTATATAATTCTGCTCAAAGTGAATAACTTATACCTATTAATTATCACACAATTAAACACCATATAAGGTTCTCAATTTTGTCTACCATTCAAATAACTACAAGTAATGTAAATAAAAGAAACAGTGAAGAGTGCCAAGATTAAGATTGTAATTATAATAGACCATATTTTAACTTTGTCAATTTATTTTAGAGTCATTATAACTCCAAATCGTAAACCGTCTTTGCCATAGTATTTTGATCAAAGTTTTTACTTACATTTTTTTTTGTAATTTTTAGGCACCGACAAAAATCCTTAATGAATTTATATATGTCTATACAACTGAGGATTTCGGGACCTTTAGATGTCCATTTTACAAACCGATTTCACTGATATTTTTAAATAATATGTTTTATTTTGTGAATATTTTTCTATAATATTTTGAGTTGTAAAATAATTTATTTGAATTTTATATTAAAAAAATTGATTAAATTATATTATTATATTAAATAATTACATTATATTAAAATACCTTGAAATATCTTCTATATTATATCATTTTACTTCTCAAATTCCCTAAATCGACAACAGAGAGCATTTAAGAGGAATTAGAGGAAAAGTTAGGAGAGAGAAAAAGGAAATCGAGATTTGAAAGCCACGGTGCAATTTTTGTTCATTAAGTCTATTGGTATAATTGCTCGTGTCGCGGTAAGGAACCTTTACCCTATTTATTATTTAAAAAAAAATTATATTTTTTATATTTTTTTTGATTAAATGTATATTTTCATTATCCAAAAATGTAAATAATTTTGTATTGATAAAACTTTCATCGTGTAACTTTTTGTATGTTATAGAGATCATGATTATGAGCATTTTGAATATTTATTTGAGATTTTTCACTAAATAATTTTGAAAATACAGTAATTTTTATCTACCCAAAATTTATTTTGACTTTCAAAAATAGTGGTGTGGTACAATAAACATCTTAAAACATCATTTTATATAATTCCTGGTATTTTGGTAATTTTTTAAAAATGTGATTTTTTGTCTAATATGATTCTTTATTGTCTACTGTCATGACATTTTGGTATCAGAATAATGGTTAGTAAAAGAATTTGTTTGTACCCAGAGCTTCAATAATGATTTCATTAATTTTTGATATACATTTAGAGTTTTGTTTTGTTTTGAAAAATTGATTTTGTATTTATATTTATTTATTTTATTTAAATAATTTCAGGTAAAGAGCCTATCGCATGAAGCTTTTTACTGATATTAGTATAGTTTTTATGTTAATTTTTTGTTCATTTATTGTTTTTTATCTAATGTGATTGTTGTATATATTCTTTTGCATGCTAGTTGTGGATTGTAATTATTAACTATAGTAATGTGAATTATATTTTACATATTTTATTTACTTTCTTTAATGCAATTAATGAACTCTAGATGTCTCTATTGATCTGGTTAAAAAAAAATTAGAGAATCGAAAATATGTTCTTTCACTTAGATCATGGGATATTACAACAACCATCAATTATGCTTGAACGTATGAACTTGTTGTCATTTTGATAGCAAGTATGCTATCAAACGCATAAACCAAACATATCGAGCTGTAGCGGTAGAGGATGGAAAATGTGAGCACAATGAGCACAACAAGCTATAGCAGAAGACAAAACCTAAGAGCATAATCCAAAAAAGATTATGAAGTATGATAGCAAGCTCGAAGACAATACCCGTGAACTAAAATGCGAGCTCAGCCACCTGTAGTAGCAGAGGAAGGGGATTTGCGATATGTCCGAGGAAGGGAAGTCACGAGAAGTACCAACAATGGGGGATTTTTGCGGGAAGGAAGAAGTCTGAGACACAATGTGTGAGGCTCTATGCATGAAGAAGAGGGAATTTTGACAGGAATATGACATCGTGAGCGTGCATGGAGTGGTATGATGTGAAATAAGAATTTGGATGGTATAATCGTAATATTAAAAAATGAGGTGTTAATTTTTACGAAAAGGAAGAAGTCCGAGACACAACGCGTGAGGCTCTATGCATGAAGAAGAGGGAATTTCGGCAGGAATATGATATCGTGAGCATGCATGGAGGACTGGTATAAATGATATGAAATGAGAATTTGGATGGTATAAGTGTAATATTACAAAATAAGATGTTAGTTATGTAAAATGTTAGGTATATAATGATATATATGTAAATGTTCTCTTTACTAAATTTTCGAATTTACAGTATTTACTAAATCCCAGTGTTAAATCCAATCCGATACCAAAGTTTTCTCCGCCAGCCCTGATTAGATCCGAGGCGGGACTGCGAGCGATAGTATAGCTCGGCGAGTGAAGTGGGAGATGGATAGGGTTCTTATTATCGTCTCAGTCTTCGCCGCTTTACTTCTATTTGGTATACTTCTGAGAGCTTTTTCTATTTCTTTTGTTTTTCTCACTTCCAATTTGTTTTCTCTGATGAGATCAAGCTCTGTTTCCGTTTTGTTTTCTGGTGTAAAGTTTCTGCTAAGAAATCAAGCGATGTTACGGATCTGCAGATCGGCGTCAAGGTGAGATTTTGATTACTAGTTTTTCTAAATCATTCATGGCTAGATAGATGGCGATTTTGCTTAAAAGTTTCATAATGGAATTTCCCAAGTAAATTATTTTAAAACTCGGGTGTTGTTTATCCATGCAATTCTTTAATTAGGGTTGAAAATTTAACTTGATAAAAGATCATTCAATAATCTAATCATTTTTTTTTCTTGAATCAAGTTTCTATCGAAGCCAACTAGTTTAACATGCCAAGCTAGTTTGAATCAAATTGAAAAGAGTCAAACCTAGATCTAATTGAGCTAGCTGAAAAGTTATATTGAAATGCATATACATGTATGTATGAATGTATATTTACTTATATTTTTATTAATGTATAGTTACTTCTATGCATTTATATGTACCATATATGTACAAATTCATGCATATATGTTTAACTAAGAATTTGTCTTCCTTGATAAAGAATTGATGAAAGTTTAGCAGAATTTTGGCTCGAATTGAACTAAACCTACTATGTCTGGCTTGAATTGTGCTAACTTATCGTAAAAATTAGCTCATATCATGATCCTATTAAATGAAATTAAGTTGATCTTAAAAATGTGTCATCATTCACAGCCCTTTTTTTTTTAAGCAAGTGATTTTTCAAATATTGAAACACATTGATCAAGTGTAAAGGGTGTCGAAAGATGTAGATATATTTGAAGAGAAATGATCAAAGAGAAAACTTCTTAGTTTATGATGCAACAAGATCGCTGAAACCTGAAAAAGATCACAAGCAAACAAGCAAGAAAAATAGAACACAAGTTCTGTTGGTAGAAACTAACAATTCTCTGTATTGATAATCACCAAAAGTATCTTTCTACTTCAGACGTTTTCTCTATGTATCCTTCTTCCTTCTACTAAAAAAAGAGATATACTCTATCATAAAACTAATAGTACATTAAAACAAAAAATGGTAATATAAGATAGTGGATAGCAGAGAAAGGACGAGAGTTCGTTATAGCAATAAGATGTCCAGCTAGCCTCCCTTAGTTAACGTGCTCCGCATCAGTCCTCCCTGGCTTCAGAGGATCTCGACTCCGACGAGCTAACTATGATAATAGCATCATCAGATGGTTTGAAAGCCCAAATGTCTGATACATTGAAAATTGGAGATGTGTTGCAATCAATAGGTAGAGCAACTGTGTACGCATTATCATTAATTTTAGCATTTATAAGAACGGGTCCAATCTTGCGACGTGCTAGCTTGGAGTAGGTTCCTGGTGGAAAACGTTCCCTGCGTAGCCGGACCATAACTAGATCCCCAACCTGGAACAATTTCTATCTGCGGTGAGTATCGACAACCTCTTTATAGCATTGATTCGCGTTGATGATTTATTGACGGACATTGTCAAGCATGCCACTATAACGATCCGTGAAGGATGGAGCAGCTGATGATTTGCACTTCGGCATGTCTCAATATATTGCCTAGAGTACGGTTGACAACCTCCGTTTGACCATCTGATTGGGGATGATATGCCAAGCTAAGGCGAAGATCAGTACCCAGTCACTTCCAGAGCTCATGCTAGAAATGGCTGATGAATTTAACATCTCGATCGGATGTAAGACTTCTAGGAAGATCGTGCAAACGAACAATTTCGTTAAAAAAAGTTGTGCAATGTTCATGGCGTTTGAAGTTTTCTTACAGGAGATGAAATGGGCCATCTTGGAGAACCTATCCACCACCACCATGATCGAATCATTGCCTCGTCTGGTCCTCGACAATCCTAGGACAAAGTTCAGGCTAAGTTCTTCCCATATTGAATCAGGCACCGACAATGGCATATAAAGTCCCATGTTTTAAGCTCCTCCTTTATACATTTGGCACACAGGACAGCTATCTACTAGTCAGAATGTGTCATGTCGTAGCCGAGGCTAGAAAAATCTGGACTGAAGTTGTCGAAGAGTATTATCACGGCCTACATGGGCTGCAAGACCCCCACCGTGAGCCTCACGGACTAATTGCTGTCGCCAGGATGATACAGGTATGCAAAGGAGATCTTGTTTGAATAGAAATCCGTGTCTGATAGAGTAGCCATCACATATTTGTGTTTCGTGAGATTACTTTCAAATATCACTGAAATCTGGATCAGATTCATAGATCTCCTTGATTCACTCCAAACCGGTTATTTCATTATGTAGTTTGGTAAGCAGGATTGATTTCCGGCTAAGAGCGTCAGCTACCCGATTGTCATGGCCCAGTTTGTGTTTAATTGTAAATGAAAAGCGTTGTAAGAACATGACCCAACGTGCATGTAATCAGTTAATTGTCCGTTGGCTATTTATGTACTGCAAAGCCTTATTATCGCTGCACAGTGTGAACTCTTGATGCAACAAATATTGTTTGCATTGCTTCAGTGCACGAATAATAGCATAGAACTCTTGTTCATAGGCGGTCCACTTCTGTCGAGCCGGACACCAATTTTCACTAAAAAAGGCTATGGGTTTATCTCCCTGTGTGTGCACGGCTCCAACGCCAATGGAAGAAGCATCGGTCTCTACTGTAAACAATTTGTCAAAGCTGGGAAGTGCTAAGACAGAGGCCGAGCTCAAGGTTTGCTTGATTTTTTCAAAACTGAATTGTTGGTCTTGTCCCCAATGAAATGTTTTGGCTTTTAAAAATTCAATTATCAAAGTCATTATGAGACTGAAATTTTTGATAAATTTTCAGTAAAAATTCGCCAACTCATGGAAGCTCTGTACCTCAAAGAAAGATTGCGGTGATGGCCAATCAAGGATAGCTGTCACTTTTTGAGGATCCATGTGTACTACCTCTGCCGAAATGATAAACCCCAGGAACCGCACCTTAGAAGTGGCAAGCTCGCACTTAGGTAGGTTAATAAACAACCTCTGCTGTCTTAGAATTTCAAAAAGGGTTTGTAAGTGTTGTAGGTGCTGATGCCAATCAGAACTGTATACCAAGATATCGTTAAAGTATACGATTCAGAATTTTTCTAAAAAGGGCTTCAAAATATCATTCATCATTCGCATAAACGTGGAGGGTGCGTTACACAACCCAAATGGCATGACCTTCTATTCATACAACCCTTGTTGAGTTTTAAAAACCGTTTTGCACTCATCTCCGAGGCGAATGTGAATCTGATGGTAGCCGCTACGGAGATCTAGTTTAGAGAATATGGAGGATCCCGTAAGCCAGCCTAGAAGCTCCTCGACTCGTGGCACCAAAAATCTATACTTAACTGTGATCTTATTGACTGCCCGACTATCAATGCACATTCGCCAATTACCGTCTTTCTTCGGAACTAACAATGCTGGCATCACACAAGGGCTCATGCTTACTTGTATTAATTGTTGTTTGAGGAGGTTGTCAGCTAGTTCTTGTAGGGTGAGTTGTTCCCTCAGGTTGAGCCGGTAATGTGGCTCCCGGTATAAAATCTATTTGATGTTGTATGCTTCTCAGGGGCTGTAGTTCAGAAGGCAATTCATCGGGTAGCAGGTCCTTGTATTGTTGCAAGAGTTTGTGCATATCAGCATGTAATTCTTCCTGTTGTGAGCATTGGTTCGGTTCAACCACTAGTAATGCGAACAGGGGAGTTGGTTCTCACTTCTCTCCAACAGTGGAGTAAAGCTGATCCAGCTACTATGTGCATAGCTATTTGTTTAGAAGGACCTGCATTTTGGGGCTTTGGTTCAGGCAATCCGGGTAGCAATCTCAGGCGTCACCCTTTCCATTCAAAGGAGTAAACATTGACATGACAATCGTAATTGACGCCAACAACGAATTGCCACGACCTTCCCAAAATCAAGTGACAAACATCCATATCTAAGACTTCGCATAAAACACCGCAGACATGCTGTTTGCCTATACAAAAAGTCACTCGACAAGATTCAGTAACCATGATATCTATCCCCTTTTTGACCCAACCTATTTATAAGGCTGTGGATTTTTTGTAGTCTTCAGCTTCAAGCTTTGAACAACTGATCGAGAAACTAAATTTTTCATGCATCCGCTATCAATTAGGAGATCGCACACCTTGCCGCCTATAGTGCATCGAGTTCACGTGGTCTTCTGGCGTGGTGCTAACATCAGTTTTTCCATGACATAAAGCAACGGTTCCCCCTCATTTGCCAGAATATCTTCAACATCACAATCTTTGTCACCTTTTGTCTCAGCAGGCTCAATATCTTCCTGACATTCCGCTATCTGTACTTGTTGTCTTTGAGGACATTTATTTGACTTATGGCCAGGTTGGAAACAACGAAAGCATTTAAACGTGGTCAATTTTGTATAGGGATTGTCCTTAGCTGCAGGCTTTGGTTTCAACTGATTCTTTACTTCAGTGCCAACATGAGCTGTAGTGGGCGATTGAGTGACTGGACCGGTGCTAGACTGAGGTTTTGAAACAGGTGGGGTACTTTTGCTAGTTCCCATGTTAGCTTCGTGCCAGTGACGTCTAGTGTAAGGGGTTTTGGATTGCCGGCTCTGTTGTAATTCAGCTTTCATGGCGAAATTCACAGCTTGGGGCATCGATCAAACAGAGTTCATCTCTAATCGATCCTGAATGCTATCCTTAAGTCCTATGATATATCGTGCTACTAATTGATTGATGAACTCGTTAAGGTTATTTCTAGCATTTAACCGGTTAAAATCCTCAGTGCACTCGCTTACCGACCTTGCCCCTTGAACACAATCCTGATATCTTATGTAGAGTATCTATTCAAAATCAGTGTGTAAAAAATGTGCTCGTAACAACTGTTTCATCCGAGCCAAGTGCGTACTCTACCCTTGCCTTCCCTTTGCCTCATTTGTAGAGTTTGTGCCCACCAAGCACGGACTCCTTTCAATCTGCACGCCTCGTATTTCACTTGTCTTTCAGGATCAATCTCCATGTACTCAAAGAAGTTCTCAACAACTTTTTTCCCAATCTAAATAGTCTTTTATGTGCAAATGACCGTAAAAAAAAGTAATATCTAATTTAACTTTAAATTCTCCAGGAAAATATGGATGTTGCACGGGTCGTTTGCGTCTATTGTAAGCTCGTTGATATCTGTCGCCCCCGTCTTCGTCATTGGATCCCCTTAAATCATTTCCATGAAACATTTGCATTTCGTCCTCTGAATCAGATATCTCCTGTGTATAAATGAGAATTGGACGCGGATTGCGGGCTGGAACTTCTCCGCATCGGTGAACATGCCGGTTGCAGTGGCTGCCTTGCCCTAATGAGATTGAACTATCGCGGATTTCCACTGTTAATCTTTGCACGTCAGCCGCTAACTCGTCCAGTCGGCGGTTGACACTGTCTTAGTTTGCCCATAGCATCTCCAAGCTCCAGACCTCCTCCGTAGCAGGTTCTTTGCCGCGATCATTCATCCTCCTCCAGGCGTTGGCTTTGATACCACGCTGATGCAACAGGATTGCCGAAACCTGAAAAATATCGCAAGAAAACAAGCAAGAAAAACAGAACACAAGTTATGTTGGTACAACAACAACAACAACAACATCAAGCCTTTATCCCACTACGAAACTATCGATTTCCTTGGCCTTCTCTCCAACCCACTTAGTTTCCTGAATGCATAAAATATTTAATTTCCTATGAATCATAATATCTATTAACAAGTTATGTAATATAAGATAATGGATAGCAGAGAAAGGACGAGAGTTCGTTATAGCAATAAGATGTCCAGTTACCGTGCTCCGCATCAGTTTATAAAAACTATAAATGTATAAAAAGCAATGTTTATAATGCCATGAATAAAGAGAGAATTTTTTCCATTGAATTGTTAGGATGCTAAATAAAAGAAGATGGTTAATATGTAGTTGTTTGTACATTTTATTAACTTAATGGGTATCGAGAAGCATGTATGATGCCCCAAAAACTGAATTGTGCTAATGCTTGCAAAGAGGTGCGTTATTTATGTGTTTTCTTTCAATGTTGAAACATAGGAACTATATTATGATATGACAACCAGTAGCAGTCATTCTCTAGATAATATGCCAACATACTTGTAGATTCATTCTTATTCGTTTGCAAGTCTCAAACTCAACTACCTGCTTGTTTTTAGAGTTAGCCATCACTTAATTGATTCTATTGTTATTTTATTTTATTTTATTTTATTGCAGTACAAGCCAGAGACTTGTAGCATTCAATCTCACAAAGGTGATAGAGTTAAAGTGCATTATCGTGTAAGTAACCTTGCAATCTTCTATTCTTAATTTGTACTAGATGTTGCTAATTGTGCAAAATTGGTCTTCTTGGACTGGAGATATGTACTTAGTCTCAGGATTTAAACTTGTCTTGTTCATTCCAATTTGGCAGAAGGATAGCTTCTTCCATTAATGTATTGTGTTTGTATGTTGGCACAAGTTTGATTCAGTTTCTTAAGGAACCTGTGATCTATGTAAAGCTGTCATGCATTTAAGCCCCATGTAACTACTAGCGGCGAAGGAGCTGGTCATAGCTGACTTTTTGGATTCTAGGAAACCAGATTTATTTACTGCCTTAAATAAATTAATTTCCATAGATAAAAGAGCAATTTCAGTAAAATGGCCTTAAAAATGTTGTTTATCATGCTAGTGGTGTGTTTATGGCTTTGTATACTGACTTAACCTACTCATCTTAATGTACATATTACAGGGGATGCTTACTAATGGAAACATATTTGACTCCAGTTATGAACGAGGTGACCCAATTGAGTTTGAGCTTGGCAAGGGTCAAGTGATCAAAGGTAAATGCTTTCCTGTTCTTTTCTTGATTGGCTAGTAGCAGAAGTTGAAAGAACTTGCACGAGAAGTGCTATTCTGACTTTACAATAACAAAACATACATTCACCCACCCTATGAATATCATTTTTGGTAATAAACAAGAGAGTTTTATAGATTGGTATTGTGGGGCTGCGAGGTTAGGCAAGCAGCTTGTAAAGGTAATTTAATATTTATTTAAAGAATGTTATAGATTGGATTCAAATCTATGATCTCAATTTTGAGAACGAGGGAGCATATGCTCGACTTAGGGCTCTTTGGTGATTAATCATACTAGTTAATTTCAATATTAATAATAAACTAATTTGAATATTTTTTATCTCAAACGTTTAATGAATAATTATCCTTCATAATCTTAATTAGCAGAAGTAATGCCTAATTTAATATCATATGTACCCAGTTAATATTTTTAGCTAACATTTATGACTAATTAATGCCTTAGCTTGTTGTTTTCTAATTAGTTTTAGTAATCAAGCTAATCATCATGATACCTAATTAGTTTAATAATATTTTTATTAATTTCTTATGAATTAGAATGCATTATTATTCTAATATTTATTTATTAGCTATTTAGAATGATTAATCATCATTTAATTTAATTAATCTATTAATTTCCAATGTATTACTTATTATATTAATATGTCATCCTACATATTAACTAACCATTATGATGGGGACATCAGTTGGAAAGTCTACCGTCGACGTGGCCGTAGATCTACGGCCACAATTTACCCGATGTATTTCTGATTTTAGTATTGTATTTTATTTTGATGTATTTTTATTTTTGCATTTTCCCTTTTTTACCCTTGCTTGAGGGATTGAGTCTTGTAGCCCTTGGGGGCATTTGAGTCCATTTATTTTATGTCATTATATTAGGCTATATATAGCCTTCATATTGTACTTTTGATGGTTAATGAATGATATGAAGAAATTTTCTTGCGTTGGTCTTCTTGAAGCTTTTGTGAGAGCTTGAGAGAGTTGAGAGTTTGGTGGAGCTTAGGAGAGGCCACCCGTCGTACCCAACAGTCACCACCGGTGGCTCTTGGTTTATCTCCCTTCTTTCTTTTCCTTCAACCTACATCTACCGCCGATCATTCCCCACCCCAAATCTCCACCTCCTAACCCCATTGTCCAAGCTTAATCTTCCCCAAAACCGCCCCCTGGCCCCCCTCTCATTCATCCCGCCGGCCATCTCCCTAACCGCCACCCACCTATCCCCTTTCGTTCATTGCCGACTCCGTTGTCGCCGCCTCATGAATTTTCAAAATTCGAAATTTGAAAATTTGGGATGAGTAAAAGTTGCCAAATTTGTCCGGTGCCAAATTAGGAAAGTTTCAAGGAGGTTTCAATTTCAAATTTAAATTGAAACGGATTTAAAATTGTTCTTCATTAATTTGTGAGAGCTAATTAGGAAACCCTTTTACTCTCTTCCCGAACCTCCTCCTCCCTTCTACATGCCGCCGGCCCCCTCTATTGATGGCCCCCTCTTTAATGCCTCATTAGAGCTCCTAATTACATGATTTTGAAATTCAAATTTCAGAAATCTTCCCTCCACTTCCACTTAAAATCTGAGAATAATTTTGGTATGAAGATTATAACATATTTTCTTCATCCCAATTAATTCTCTCATAACCCTAGCCTCTTCTTCCTTCCCACCCGTCCAACCTCTCTCTCTTCGCTCCCTCTCAAGGCGTTTCTCCTTCATTTATTTGAGATGGATGATCGATCCGGAGTTTGAGTCCGGTTTTGGCGTACGAAGGCTAAGATTGCGTGGATCTCCTCAACTTGCCTTCCTCAACTTGACTCCAAACATTGTTGGATTCAAAGAGAAGGCCACCTACCAATTGCTACTCATTGTGAACAAGGCTAGGGAAGAGAAACTAACGGAAGGTTTGTAGTGATTCACGTCATTTCTCCGAGAAGGTGATCTTCTTCCTTGATTCATTTACTTTTTCAAATTCTACTTACTTTATTGAGATTTGTCCAAACAAGAAACTGTGCCTACTAATCGCCATCCATTAGTAATCGTAGGTTTGTTACTTCTTTGCTATTAGATTTCATTGTTAAGTCTTGGTTAAGTTGGAAACTACTTCGCATGCAATGTTTTAGTTTTCCTATGTGTTTTGATTTAGCTCAGTCTCTTGTGTGGCTTAGCCTAACAGAGTTGATCCTTTAAGAGTTTTACCTTGTTGTTTTAATCACGAATAACTAAAATCTGAAATTGCTCTTAAACTATCTTGTGCAGGTTTCCAATTTAGCATGTAGTCCTACATTACATTAATGTGCCTAATTTTTCCGTAATTTGGTGCCCAAATCTCCTTATCTTGGAACATGAATCCAACTGCAGTTATGTTTTGGTTCTGAGGTTCCATCAACGCTCATGGGGTTGACATTGTTCTATATCTGATTTGTCATTCAGCAAAGAAGAGTGCTTAAACCTTTTTTATATCCTCATCCAAGATAATCAAAATTTCACAATTCATTTTCAACAACTTAGAAATTTAAACTAAATAAAATTTGCTTTCTATATGTAATTTTAGATGCTTACCGTTTAAGAAATTTGCACGCTATTAAGGTTCAAGTATCTCTTCAAACATATAAAACATAGATATTTACATTTAGGTCTTCCATTGATTTTTCTTAATTTTTTTTTTTCATGGACTTCGGATTTTAATTTAGGTTTCTTCTAGGTTAGCAAACAGAACTGCAAATTGATACATTATTTCATTATTTCGATATGATGAAATTAAAGATAGTAAATCATTGTTAATAATATGCATACCATACAAATGGCTGAAACATATTGTACAGGATGGGACCAAGGGCTATTGGGAATGTGCGTTGGTGAGAAAAGGAAGCTGAAGATACCTTCAAAGCTCGGTTATGGAGCCCAAGGTTCTCCTCCTAAGATCCCAGGTAATGAAGCTGAACAAACTACTTCAACAAAATGTAACTTTTGAAGAAGTCTGGATCTAATATATAATGATTTTGGAATTCTGCTGAAATGTTTTGGTAATCTTGCAGGTGGTGCCACACTTATCTTTGATACTGAACTTGTGGCTGTCAATGGAAAAACTTCAAGCACCAACCAATCAACTGAAGGGAACGAGGAGCTATAAATTTTACTGAGAACTGAATACCTCCATGCTATGGCTAATTGAGGGGATCTATAAAAAAACCTGAAAACAAGGTAGAAGTTTGCATCTGTAGTGTAGGAGCACTTGAGTTTTGAAATGATTCTAACGAATTACATGGTACTAAATTAATTTCGGGAGTTTCTCCGAACCGTTGTCTATTCATTCAATGAAAGGCTTCTGATGTCTATTTCAGACGGGTAGTACAATTCTATTCACAAACCATTCGGGATTGTTGCTTAATGTTGTCTTACTATTATCAGGTTCCTTCCTGTGAAACTTTGTGTTTTTTTTTCACTATTTAGATGACTGAAAGCAATTGAACCTTGTCTGGTACTGATTTTATTGTGGGTGGGTATGGGTGAGTACTCAACATCGGGGGATAAATCGATTTACATTGCTAATCACTGTATATCTTATATTACTGCAATCCTCACTACATAGTGTGCATCACTTAACCACACAGCGACTACGATAAATTGTGATATGCAGCTTGAAAGTTTGCAATCAGAGCAAAGGACAACAAGGCCATCAGTTCGTGGCAGAATGCGTTCAAAAAGCATGGAAGGTGGACGGGTATAGTTGGGTACGGTATCCTGAAAGTCACCATGGGTGGGCGAAGTTCGGCAGAGTAAAGCATGGGTACCTAATGGGTATCCAACCAGGACCCCATATAGGGCTTTATAGTATTACTTCCATCTCTTGTGTTATCAAAATGAACCTTCTAACAATGCATCTTTTTTTTTAGAGATTGCTTGAAGGATGGAGACAACAGAATAGAGTTTGGTAAAAAGAAAAATTTCAAGTTAATAATTGGTGTGTTGAAAAAGTAAGACATCAGTAAAATAAAATGTTGTGTGAAAAGTATTTAATATATTTGAAATTATTTGAAGGTGTGACATAAATGTAAATGATCATTATTTTTTTATTTAACTTTGAAGCATAGTGATGTTACAGGCTGGTAGTGATGGTGATGGCTTGCGGTTGTGGCAAAAGGCAACAGGCGGTAGAGATTGGTTTTTTTTTTTGGGGGACATTTAGGCCATTTAAGGCAAACTCACACACACAACGCATACACAAAGGCTCGAACCCAAGACCTCTTAGTTGGAAGCCTAAGCTCTCAACCAACAAGACAAGGTGAGCTGTGTGTGCGGTAGAGATTGGTGGCGATAGTGAAGTTAGGTTGCGGTGTCTTTTAAAACTTGGCTGAAAATATGTGAGTTTAGAGTATATAAAAAATGAACTATGTAAATAAGAAATTATTTTTGTATTCTTTTATCATCAAATGAATTATTAAATTTTTTAAGTCTCTTAAATTTGAAATACTTAGCATTTTTTCTTCAACAAATCAGACAATCCTGAAGAAAGAATTGTTTCATTTCAAGTGCAAGAATTAGAAACTTCAACTGAAAACAGTAGACTCAACGTTTCAGCAGAAAACAGCATGCGCATAGGAGGGTATCGAGAGAGAAAGGAATATAGTAAATCCTTGAAAATTAGGGTTTTTTAACTTCTCACAACTAGACTTGATCATTAGTTCCTAGAGAAATTTACCGATTTAGCTGGAGCATCAACTAAATATGACTGCTGCAATTGCAATTCTTAAATTTTTGTTCAATCTGATGCGATTTATGACCTTAGAACTGGGGAAAGAAAATTGTATTACGATCCTTGCTGATCATATTAAAAATGTCTTAGGAGTTAGGAGTGCTACACGTTACTCAAAAACTGTAAAAGCTTCATGACCATTAAATTTTCTTAGTAGTACCAAAAAGAAGTCTTTTTTTCATCGATCTAAATATATTATATTTATTTTATCTGCATTTAAAATGCGTGCATCCTTTACATACGATCGATCAAATAACATAAAAAGTTGATAATTTTAAAACTTTCTGCTACTGTTTTGGTGGTCTTTTCGGATTTGCGCAAAGCTTTTTCAGTTTTTCTTCTGTTCCACTAGTAATCCAGCCACTTCCGCGGTTACCGCCGCAGCTATGCGATGCTCCACTACTTCGCCGGCATCGTCCTCCGCCGGCAGGGCGGCTGCATCTCTACTATACTTCATACTACGCTGCCGTCCATTCGCCTAGCAGAAACCCGTAAACTAGCTTGCCTTCCCCTTCCTATTCCACCTGCGACGCCGCCACCACGCGACGACTACTTCGCCGCAATTCACCATATCTCCAACATCGTCCGGCGAGACTTCTACCTGGAACGCACTCTCAATCGCCTTCGCTTGCCGCCTCCGACACCCGACATCGTCCTTCGCGTCCTTCGCGCCACCGCCGGCTCCCACCCCCTTCAAGCCCTTCGCTTCTTTTCCTGGGCCCGCTCCCGCCCCTCCTACTCTCCGTCCTCCCCCGAGTTCGACGCTCTCCTCCTCGGTCTTGGCCGTCACCGCCTCTTCCCCCATCTCTGGCGCCTCGCCGCCGACATGCGATCCCTCTCCCTCCCCCTTTCCTCATCCACCTTCGCCTCCATTATCACCTCCTACGCGGAAGCCTCTCTTCCCGATCTCGCCGTCGATATCTTCAACCGCATGCGCCGATTCTCCTGCCCCCAGACCACTGAGGTTTACAACGCCCTCCTCTCCGCTCTTTGCCAAGCTCGCAACTTTCACGGCGCTTATTCCCTTGTCCGCCGCATGCACCGCAGATCCGTCTCCCCTGACCGCAGCACTTTCTCCATCCTCGTCGACGCATGGTGCGCCGCCGGCAAGCTCCGCGAGGCACAAGATTTCCTCGAGGAAATGGCCCGTCGCGGCTTCTCGCCTCCTGTTCGCGGCCGCGATCTTCTCATCGACGGTCTCGTCCGTGCCGGCCACCTCGAGTCTGCAAAACGTATTGTTCTTCGATTGACTAAGGAGGGCCTCCTCCCTGATGTGTCCACATTCAATTCCCTCCTCGAAGCTCTCTGTAACGCCGCCGAAATTGACTTCTGCGTTGATCTCCTTCAGGATGCCAACGACCTTGGCCTCTGCCCAGACATATCGACTTACAAGGCACTAATACCGGCGGTGTCAAAGGCTGGGAAGATCGAGGAGGCTTTCAGGCTTTTAAACTGCGCAATGGAGGAGGGGCACCGTCCATTCCCTAGTCTTTACGCCGCTATTGTGAAGGCCATGTGCCGCGCCGGGAGGTTTGCCGACGCCTTCGTGTTCTTTGGCGACATGAAGGAGAGGGGTCATCCGCCTAACCGTCCTGTATACACCATGCTTGTGAAAATGTGTGTGAGGGGAGGGAGGGTGGTAGAAGCGGCTAATTTTTTGTTGGAGATGACTGAGATGGGGCTGGTACCGAGATCTCAGAGTTTTGATATTGTGGTGGAGGGGTTGAGGCATTGTGGTAAGCATGAGCTGGCAAGAAGGATGGAACAGCTTGAGGTTGAATTTCTGCGATCTTAAGTTTCCATTGGTTGCTTGATCGGCAGCCAAAGAGAGGCAAAATTTTTTATTTCTTATATTGGTCTATGGGTTCATTGAGGTAAGTGATGTGTTTCTCTGATGTTTAATATACTTTCTTTGAGCATGAACATGCATACTTTTACCATATATCGATATCAAGATTTAGCCAAAATGAATTCTATATTTTTTCTTGCAATGTGTGCCGTTATAAGTCACATTTTAGCAGAACCATACTAATAGTAACTTAAGGGGCTATTTGGCTGCTTAGCCAATATTTACTTAAGATTTAGGAAAAAAACTTTTGGACACAAAAATCTTACCACCTTCTTAAATAGTTAAATCTCACCTTCCTCCTAATTTAGGCTAAATTTATGATTCAGTAAAATGCGGGGAATTAGGATTTAAGAGACTTAGCCGTTTTAAAATGACAAATTCATTTCTTATTTACTGTTTGATTCGTCAAATCAAGTTCCCAATAACTCCATTTGCTTCATTTTTCTGCTGTTTTGAGAAAGCTTTTTATATATGCTTCTCCGGTAGAAAACTTCATTTTTTGAACCAATGTTTCTTAAAACTGTCTTTTACAAAACTAAAAAAAAAAAAAAAAACAAACGAAGCATTAATGCCATTTGTCCTCATTATTCTTCTTTTTCTCTTTCATTTATGTTCTAAATGTTGAAAATATTTGTCAAATAGTTTGCTAGGATTTAATCAGATTTAATATCCATGTTCCCAAATAACTTTCTTGAGTTAATACCCCCAGGATTTATTATATCTAAATTTATAAAATTTACTAAATCCTATATGAAATAAATTCTACTTGTATCCAAACAATCTCAAGACTAACTTATATAAGATGAGATTTTAGGTTCATCAACTTTTGAGTAACTATCTTAAATTTATTGTTCTTAAGCTACTAGGTGAATAATCTAATTTTACATTTTCACTTCAGAAAATGCCATCCTGATGAAGTAATGCTTCGGCGATGGATTTGGAATTTAGTACCTTGAGTGTCATAAGGCTTTTTTTTCCCTATTGTTAATATTGTTTATGATTTGAAGAATTGTAGATGAGATTAGTTTCACTAAGAAAATTGAGTTATTGGATTCAAATTATACTATTGTCAATGCTAGAATCTTACTAGTAAATACAAAAGGTGTGTCTCTAGCTATGTTGCATCGATACACCTATTTATGAAGGCGTGCTGTATCTAATACACCGATTCACGGATACGCTTTCGATACACCACCGATACGTGTCAGATACGCCAAAGCTGTATCCAATTAAAATACTATTTAATTTCAAAAGGACATTCGTATATGATATGCGTGTCAGTTGAAAAAAAAAAGATGCGTCATATTTACTTCCGCAGCTACGAGCAAGGTTCTCTCATTTCCGAGATGGATTTGAGTCTCTTGATGATATGAGAATATTAGAAATTATTAATCTTTCACTTGATGAGTCTGAATTAGAAGCTATGATATTCATTGAAGATGACATAAAAGTTCAAAGACAAACCACTGAAGAAGCTAATCATATCATTCCCTCTATCGAATAGTTGAAACTTCATGTGCTAGATAATTTATGTTTATGCTTTTGTTGTTGTACTAACATGAATGAATATTTTAAGTAATACATAGTGATGCTTATTATAAAATGTCCCAAGTCTTTCTAGTTGATGGATGTCCAAGTGCCTGTGTAACTATTGATGTGCTTCAAGCTAACAATAAAATCATCTGAGAAAGTTTTTCTATGAAAAAAATTAATCTCCAACAATTTTTCTTCCATCATTTCCATCTCCATCAATTTTGCCTCCAATGTTCCACCAAGCAGCCCTCTGTGTTTCTTATTCACTTCATGCCATATCAATGATCCGGTGTATTATTAATGACACCTCATTAATTTATGGACTAGTGTAATTATTTTATCATTATTATTTAACTTATTCATCAATACGTGGGCTATTGTAATTATTTTATAATTATTATTCTTTGATTTTATATGTTTCTTATTAAAATCTCTCTTAAAATTGTATAAATACTAAACAAATATTGAAATGAACACTCAACTTATTCTTTTTCTAATTATTGTCACGATATTAAAGCTATAGGCTTTTGTTCTCAGTATTTTTACAATTCACAACCTTTATAACTATATTGCCTAGAATTTCTAAGCTTTTATTTCTACAGGTCTCTTTTCACTCCACCTGGTCTTCTCATTTATAGCTTTTATCATGCAGCCATATCTATTTCACTCTTTCCTCTTTGCAACTAATTACTATCATTTTTATTTCCTATGGATCATAAATAAACCCATGTTCTTTTTGTCTTAGGTTCATTTAATGTGTGAATCCATTCAAAATTTCATTTAAATGGAAAGAATTACCTCATGCGGTCATAATTGGTTTGCAACTTCTTAAAGGAAAGAAAAAAAATTAGGCCATTTACTTGGCATTAGATCTTAGCAAGGTGATCCCATATATCAAATAATTGTATGAGAGGATTGTTGAAGGCTTTGAGCGGTAAAAAGTTACTTTGAGAAAGGAGACAATCTAATCAAGCGCGAGGAGATTTCTAGAAAAGATGTTTGGAAGAGAGAAGTTCAAACTTTATTAATGTTTCAATGTCTGCATAAATGTGAGGGATTATATCTCTGATGGACCAATCCATCTTGGACCGGTCAAGGTTGGGCCGGTCCCTCCTGGACCGGCCAAACATTATGTGAGGTGGAAGTGGGATCTTCCACCCGGACGCCCCCCTTGGGGTGGGGCCTAAAGAGCAATTCAAATGAGGGGGGAAGGGCTGTTTTGGGATTTGCTAGGTTAATGTATGATTTAAGTAGTTTGTTTACCCTAGGATTAGGGTATGTGATGTTTTTGCTGAATTGAGAGTTTCTTAGGTTAAGGGGGGCTCTAGATGGCGGCTAGGGATCTGGGAGAGTCAGATATTCCTCTCCAATTGAAGATCCAATTATATCTTGTCTTCCTTTCATAGCTATTTCTATAAGGTGTTCTTATGTGTTTCTTGAAGTTTCTTCATCCTAGTTTCCATGTGTTTGTTTTCTGGTTTTGTTGGAATTGAATTTTAGCCAAGGATTTGAGCAATTTCTTCATCCACTTCCTATCAATCTCATATTTCATTTTAAGGATATGTTTTTTTTTTTTTGGAAAATTATATATATTTATATATATAACATCTAGTCATAAGTCTAATGTAAGAAACATTTCAATAACTTTGAAAAAAAATTATAAGGTGATCAGAGGTGAATTTTAGGGGATATATATGTGGGCACATTCCTTCCAAAAGTTTAAACATACTATTTTATATATAAATATGCCCCCATTATTTGATATTTGTTGTACGAAATATTCAATTTGTGCCAAAAAATAATTGAATGTGTTCTCTTTAAGAAAACTTTTGACTGTACCATTGAATATGATATTAGTATGGTTTAAAGTAAACTTTGTAAAGTATTTAATTTATATAAGTGTTAGAAAGTATATAATTAAAGAAAAAAAATTATGTAATTAAAGTTTGAAAAAAATTATGAATTGAACAACATAATATTTTTCTTAGAGTAATAAAATAAGAATCATACAAATATATGATCTTGAGATTAGATCATTCTTTTTAAGTTTAGGTGATCATATATTAAAAAGTTCATTAATTTATTCTTTGGTTCCATCAATATATTGCATCTCAAACTTATATATCTAAGAAATGGGAAAAATCTCAAAATAATCCTCCACGATTATTTGTATGTTGCCAATGTAGTCTCTGAGTATCATATTTATCCAACATCCGATATTTGATGTTTGAGGAATCGAGTGGAGAATTAACTTTGAGATTTATTTATTTCTTGAAGGTACTAATCTAAGTTAGCATTAAAATATTTCATCTCAAGGCCTATGTTGTTTGACAACCCGATTATATTGATGTTTGGTCTATGATTTGTAAGCAAAATATCCGTTAGCTCCCTGAGTGGAATTTGATCAATAACTGACCATGTGCACTTCATATCTAGAATTGGCTTTATGTATACTTGAACTAATCTTGCGCCTTAGTTTCAATTCATAAAATATTTAAGATAAATTTCTATCCTACAAAAAAAGCTTCGCTTCATTATGCTATAGCTACCTATTTCACCATAACCCCATATATGAAGATAGAGTCAATAATATCTGCCATAGAGTTATCAAAAGAGCATATTATATCTGCCAACAACGAAGTATATAACCATAGTTTAGTTAAATGGTAGGGTTGGTTATGGTCTCATGATTCTGATAGGGAACATTTGAAGATCTCAAGTATTTCCTATCAAATCTGTAATATTTGATGAAATGGAAGCGGAAAACAGCGAGATACAATTGATCCTCTATTTGAGAGGAGGATCGTTCTCTCCCAATCTCTAGACACCTCTAGAGCCCAAAAGAAATCAAAGAGATCAAATTTCAGCCAAATTCAAGATGCCCTAACCCTAGGAAAACAAAGTATTTAATGCATACAAATCAAAAGGAATTCCCTAAACAATCCCTACATTCAATTTCCCTCCTAGAATCCATTCAAAAACCTTCCTAAATGAGCTCCAAGGATTCGCATGTGTGCGGCTAACTGAAGAGGTGGAAAATCCTTACCAAATCCTGAGCCGGTTCCGCGTGGACCGGCTGGACCGGTCTAACAATACTCCCCTCCCAAAGATCCACCTTGTCCTCAAGGTGGAGATATGCTCGTATTCCCGTGGAGGTGGCCATCCTTGATGTGGCTGAAAATCCTTACCAAATTGCTGACTCAAGGGTTGCACTGAAAGAGAAATATCCCATCCCTTCTCCATCCCGATCACATCCAGCTTATGTGGTCCCACCATAAAATCTTCCCCCACCTCTTGTAGGCCCCTAGCCATGGTCTTAAGTGATACCATGATTTTGGATAGCCCTGCATCTCCCCTTATAACCACCTTTCTCCCATCCACCATTAATTCCATCGTGAGTGCTCCCTAATTGTTCTTGGTTTCTCCTAAGGTTTGTAACCACTTCATTCCAAGAATGACATCAGTACTTCCTAACTCTAGTGGGAGAAAGTCCTCCCTTACCTGAATCCCCTGGATGGTTAACGCCACTCCTCTACAGATCCCCTGGCCTTTTTTCACCTTCCATGTACCCATCATCACTCTATAACAATCGGTGTCCACCAATCCGATTCCACCAATTTCACTCCCAATTGGTCGACGACCTGAGTGAAAATGAAATTATGGATAACCCCACTATCAATTAGCATCACCACCTCCCTTCCCTCTATCTCTCCCTTCACCTTTATTATATGATTCGTAGTGAATCCTACCACTGAGTTTAGGGAAACCTCAGCCATATCCAAGTGTAGCTTCTCCTCCATCTCCTCTGTATCCTCCTCACCTCCCTCAATTTCCTCGTCATCGCAGACGGTAAGAACCTGAAGAGTTCGGTTCTTGCACCGATGCCCTGGAGTATACTTCTCCTCGCACCTGAAACACAACCCCTTTGTCCTCTTCTCTTGCATCTCCTTCTCTGTCAGCCTCTTGAAATTTTCCCCACTCCCTCCTCCTATTGGCTTCTCCCTGGTGGTCTCATTAATGTTGCCTGATGCAGGCCCCTTGGGTGCTAAAAGAGTGGTTGTAGTCTTATAAGAGCCTCCTGAGCTGCTGCTCCTGCTCCCTTCTCCAAATTCTTCTGATTTTCCACCAGCTGTGTCAACTTCATGGCCTCCCCCAAGCCACTAGACAACAGAACTTTCACTGCCTCTCAGATCTCTACCTTCTACCCCTTCATGAAGTTCCCCTCTAATACGATATCTTATAATCGCTCCACCCTACTAGCCAGGTGCTCGAACCGCTCCCGGTACTCTGCTACCGATCCCTCCTGCACCAGAGCAAAGAACTGCTCATAGAAATCTCCTCCCCGATCAGTTTGTAAACGTTATATTATTCATTCTTTGAATTTCCTCCAGTTCTTGATAGGCCTCCTCTGGTCTCTCCACTGAAACCACGATATGGCTTTTTCTTCCAAGCACAATTCCGTTGTTGTCAGCTTCTCCTCCTCCGTCAGCCCATTGACGGCGAAGTAACGTTCGACCTTGTAAATCCACCCATACGCATCTTCTCCTTCGAATATGGGCATCTTCAACTTCCTCACCTTCTGGTCGCCACCATTTCCCCTGATTCTCCCATAATTTCCCCTCTCCCAAGTTCTAGGTCCATCCCATGTTTCCCGATCTTCCCTTGCTCTGCCATAGCCCCTACCCCCTTCGAAATCCCCCATTCTTTCTTCAAAATCAGCACCTCGGCGGCCGTATTATCCCTCCTGGCGTTCCCCGTATCCACCTACCCTTTCTTCCCTCTGGATAGGCTCCAGATGGGGTCTTCTTCCTTCTCCTTCCATGATTTCCACCACATCTTCCTACCTATGAATTTTAGAATTCATATTTTTTCCTTCTACTCTTTCGCCACGGAAGCCGCCGTTTGGTTTTGAACTTCTAACATCTTCTTCATCATGTCCTGGAGATCGGCGACTTACTCTTCCATGGAGGAAATCCTTTCCTCCATTGTCGTCTTGATTTGGTTTATCTCTCCTTCAAGCCTTTCCTCCAGGGCATCAACTTTTTTGGCCGCCATCTCGATCTGAACTTTTGCAAATTCAAAAATTCAGGATTTGGATTGCAAAAACAGCAATTTCGTCTCTTCTGGACCAAAATTCAGCCGTTGAAATTTGTCAAAATCAGCCCACGAACGGTCCCAAGACTTGCTATGATACCAATTTGATAGGGAACACTTGAAGATTTCAAGTATTTCCTATCAATCTTCGGAAAACAGTGAGCTTTCTTACCAAAATCTACACAAAAACCGGAAAACAGTAGAAAATTTGTAATATTTGATGAAATGGAAGTGGAAAATAGCGAGATACAATTGATCCTCTATTCGAGAGGAGGATCGTTATGTTCGAATCTCTAGACGTCGCTAGAGCCCAAAAGAAATTAAAGAGATCTCAAATTTCAGCCAAATTCAAGATGCCCTAACCCTAGGAAAACAAAGTATTTAATGCATTCAAAAGGAATTCCCTAAACAATCCCTACATTCAATTTCCCTCCTAGAATCCGTTTAAAAACCTTCCTAAATGAGCTCCCAGGGATTCGTGTGCGTGCGGCTAACGGAAGAGGCAGAGATGTTCCGCCTCGTTCATGCCTGGGCCGGTCCCGCGTGGGCCGACTAGACCGGTCTAACATATTCTTGGATCCTTGTTAAATTACATAGTCTCAATCAACATTTGCCAGAGTTGAAAATTTTTTGAAAAAGATTGGATGGAGAGTTCAAGGTTGGCTCATGGAAGAAGCTAAGGGAAAAAAAAAAACAAAAAGAAAAATCAAACAGATTTCAAAAGGCTTGTGGGTTGTTACAACAATAAGAACATTAATTAAGCTATACGATTTTCTAAGGATTGTTAGAAAGAACAACAAAAACTAATTATTCAAAATCACACCAATGATGGCCATGTTGAGAGTGAATCTTAACCGGAGGGAGCAATTCTCAAAACTTATTAAAATTTCAAAATCTAATATCCACCAAATTCTAAACATTTAAATGAAAATGTAATCACAAAAACTTAAAATTAAAATCCTTTCACTCTTCATAAAGATTTGACGAGGATGATGATTTGAAGAATAATTTCAGCTCACTAAGAGCAAATGTCTTGTGGAATATATTACTACAATTCATTCTCAGTTAATTCATTGTCAACAGAGATGTGACACGTGTCCTCTATATGATTTTACTGCAAAATGACATCAATATATCACGGTCCCGACCAAAGTCAGCATGTTCCCTAATAGTTAAAAACCCATTGAGGAATGAATTATAGGGTATACTCTATACAATATAAAGCCCTCTGTTAGTTAAGGTTGACTTAAATTCATCTTTTTAGATAAACATCCACCCCAGGTCTACATGATACTCTTGGACAATGCAACCCATGGCGGTTGACAAGGTTCCTTCAATTATGTTAGGTTAACTGTCTCTTCTAACTAAGTAGACCAGAGACTATGACAACCCAGAACAACGGAACCATAGGATCTTGATCAAGCTTGTCTTCATTCCCCCCATCACCTATTTTAAATTTATTGATAAATTTTAATTCTTTAAAATCCCCAAAATCCAATTTTTAAAATTCTTAAAATTATTGGTACTATACATTGGGTACTCAATGCCTATCTCACGACTAGCTTTAATCGAAAGTTCCCTCTCATCATATATATAAAAAAAAAATCCCTCTCATCATTAGGAGGGGTAATTAACTATAGGAGATTGCATCTATAGGAAACCAGAACTCATATAATAAAGTCTTTGCAAAATGAGGGTGAAATATCTATGTAGTGTCTTATCTGAAAATCGAATCTGCCTTCTGAAAATTTACCCAGGTATCTAAATCCGTTAAAACTCTCCCCATCAACAAAAGACAATGTGGAGAGGCGAAGGCATGAGTTTTTGGAGCCCACAACCTACAACATATATTCAAAATGAGAGATAATAGTATATATTATTTGCTATTTGTAGATGACAATCAATATTGGTTGGATTATTTTCACAGTGAAGGTAAGAATAATGGAGAAAAATATAACGTTGTTAGAGGGATGGATCTTTGAATTCTAAAATGCCTATCAATTGCTCTATTCTTTCAACAGGGCTCAAAATCTATTAAGCACAAGCAGATTTCTGATATGCAGCTCCATTTTTCTCATCCTTGGTTAATAAATTTGTCTTAGCCACTCAAGCTTGGGGCTTATTTGGACCTTATCTTTACCTGATGTGTGACTACTCACATCCTTATCAAATTATTAGGATCTTTGAGTTCACTGCATCAATCACTCTATATTATACTCATTGGATTCGATTTTTTGCAGTTCAGTATATGTGGATGCTGCTGCTGCTAATCTCTCTAGAATATATGCCCGTGTTGTGAGGGCCAATTTGAACTGGTCGATTTGAATAAACAAACACCTTGTCATCCTTGATCAAACGAAAGTGAACGAGGAGATGTGAATGGCGGCCGTATTAGGATAGGATATTCAAGGCATTGTGGTTTTATCTCTTGATAGAGATGCCAAACTTGCAGCGAAGGGAGACCGAGCAGAGAGGGATTGGGGATTTGTGCGGCTCTTGCGATTTTGTTCAACAGTAAGGAAGAGGATTAAGGGAGTGTGGATTTCATTCAACCGAAAGGAAGATGAAGAATGAGAGGTTTACACGAATCTATTTGATAGATAGAAAGAGAGAAGAGGCGAGTGAGAAATTATTCTGTGCAGAGGCTGGACAGCTCTATGTCGTGCAACCACATCAGTGGCACTGAGCAGTACCGATCGAGTCGCGGTACACAACGAAGGGGTGATGTGGCGCATTCTGGTTAGTCTTTGGACGGCATTCGACATCTACGCAAAATAATTAATCCATTGGCGAGGGTGGAGCAAGTTATTTATTTTTCCTTAAATGTAAATGAAAATAGTATTATATATATATTAAGTTTGTTAGAAAGGAGTTCATTCCCTTATGATATTGACTGTTGATGCAATATATCCGTACAAGTAAAATGAAAATTTTTGGAAAAAAAAAAAAGAAATGGAATGATTGTGTCTTAATTAGTATAAATTTCAGATGATATTCCTTAAATCGTTACTATATTAAAAGTTATAATTTGATAAATAAAATATAAAATATTGTTTCTTGTAAAATGATGCTTTTATCTTATCAAGTATGCATCTTTAAATTTTCATAAATAAAATATTTAATGATTATTTAGGATGACTCATATGCATATTATTTTCTATTTAATTTAAATTGTTATATTATAAAATTATAATTAGCCATTGAATTTGATGATCGGAATTCAATCCATTAAATGAAATGTTTTCATTTAAGGCTCTTATAAATTTGATGGCTATGCATTCGAAAAAAGAGGGGCAAATGAGAATAATAGGTATGTATTGGGGTTGGCATTTTTTTTCCCATATTATGATCGTGTGCACCAATGTTTCATTTGGTTGTTCTAGTGTGTAGGGGATCAGGGGTGTCAATATTTGACATGAACCAAAAATCCGACCAAAAAGTTTCGGGTTTAGGTCAACTCGTTTGAGAAATAGGTCGGACTCGGGTTCGGGATTTTGACCTATTTGTAAAATCGGGCTAGGTTCAGGTTGATCCGAATACCTGAAACTAGCTTGGGTTGACCTTGGAATATCGTGCTCTCTGGTGTCGTCCCGTGACCCTGGTTTACCCGGGAATATCACGCTCACTGGCGTCATCCCGTGACCGCATCTGGTCGAGTCGTCTCGTTGGCGTTGTCCCGTGATCGTCATACCCACACTACCAGCTGCCGCTATGTCGCAGGCCCACAACTGGCTTTGTCGGTGCATCTGGTCGAGTTGTCGACAACTCGACGTCGTCCCATCAGTGTGCCGCCAGAATCCAGACACGTTTCGACGTCGTACAGTCCTGTAGCGTGCACGAATACTCGTTTGGTCTAGTTGAGTCATTCTATCATTGACGTCCCTCGCACATTCCAACAGTGGCAAAACCACAGGCGACAAGCAAGATGTTGAAATTTCTCCCGTAGGCGGATGCTCAGCTAGGGTTTCATGTCGAGTCCGGGTTGCATTTTCTGACCCGTATGTGAAAATGGGTCGGATTGGAGTCGTGCAAAGAATAGCAGATCTGTATTGGGTTCGACCCGATCCCGACCCATAACCCAATTTTGACACCCCTACTAGTGTGGAGGTTGTTGATGATTCAAGATTGGCCTAATCTCAAGATACAATCCTTAGTTTATGTTGTTAAGTGGATAAAAAGTTCTAGTTGATGCATCCTTTTCAATAAACTTTTTTTTGTTCTTCCAGATTTACTAGATTTCAAGCTAGACACATTTGGACTTGCAAGTGGTGTCAATATACAGTAGTTGCTACGTTTTATGTTAAATTGATCAAATGAATTTTGCTTTTATTTTTATGATGGCAATCTTGTGTAATTGCTAGTTGATGCATCCTTTCAATAACTAGTTATAAAATTTGACTGCTTAATAAAAAAAGGAAAACAATTAGCTAAGTACAATTGGTTGGGACGGCTCTTTTTTCTTTCTTAAAGCAACTTTATAGCATCAAAATTTTAATTTTTATATTAATTTTTTTAAGAAGCAGGAAGAAAACCGTCACGAATTAAGACTTAAATCATATTTAGCACAAGAAAATATTTATTGAAAATAGCTTTACAAAACAGCTCACTTTTTTCTTCTTGTTTATTTGGTTTTGATGTCCGATTGGTTCCTACTTTGCATCAGTTGTGTCAGCAAGAGGGGACACATTATTTAATTGATGTCTTTGGATTAATTTCAGAGGACAACTCTGCTGCTAATGATATGGAAGGGAACTAAATTCATAGTGATAATTATATGCTCATGACATTGTGATGTCATGAGCATGTTTCATCCTTAAACCTCACATTAAGTATGGCTCAATGTCAGTGGCACATGAAGGCTTACATAATAAAGGAAAGGGAAAACAAAAAAATGAAAGAGACTCAAGATGAGTCTAATTTCGTACAATCGAAGGTGAGAACTCGAGTCAAGTAACATAGCCGAGGATGAGCGACAGACGAGATCTGTTTAGTCGGCCTTAGTAAGTACTCTTTATGATGGGGACATTTAGGCTAATTAAGATAAATTCATACACATTATTTATGTAAGATTCGAATTCAAGATCTTTTCGTTCATAGTCAAAGTTCCCAGCCGATAGATCATGGTGAGTACTAATGGACAAATAGTTTGGATGATTAGACATCATTGTTAGTGAATTTAGCAGTATAATATGAGAGATTATTATGTGCGGACATCGGACACAACTTATCGTTCAAAGACGAATTAGGTGCAACCACATCATCCAATACTGAGCCGTGGTACTTAGTAGGGGGTGACGTGGTACATTTTCATTGGGCTCTGGATGACGTTCGGTGTCCGCATAGAATAATTCATCAATTATTATTGAGAAAAGAGTGAGGCTAACTCTTTGGTGAGCTACCGAGATTCGATCCTAGACAACTTGAGATCTTCAGTCATGACCCAAATAGATCATTGGCCAACAACTTGTTGGACTGGGTTCAAGATATGAAAACGATTTGATCAATCTTTAAAATTTGGGTCTATTTCTAGGGAGTATGAGTAGTTCCTCCAGCCACAATTATTGTTCTTTTGTCTATCTTATTGAGGTTTCGTTTGGGATGATTTTTTTATTGCTTCTTTAAGCTGGTTTTTAAAATTTATTTAATGATATGTTTAATATTTCAAATGCTTAAGATTTAAGATAATTAAAAGTCAAAAGTTATTATCTCCTAGACTCTTAGCTATTTTAAATCTAATCATTAAAAATTTATAATTATATTAAAAAAAAGGTTTGAGAAAAATAATTATATTTTTACATATATTGACACTCCAATCTAAATCAATTGTGATGTGATGTGATCTTCTTAAATGTATTGATATTTATTTCTTTTATTATACTGCAAAGGAAATTATTAATATGAAATGAGTATTTTTAGTATGCTTAACCTAAACTTTAGAAAATATCTTCATTCTATTAAATGAATGATATGTGATGTATGCATGTTATGTCCTTTGTCCAATAATCTTGGTATTTGTTTTTCTATCTCAAAAGATAAACTTGCATGTAGTATGATGATGACATGCATCTCTTATGAAAGATCAAAACAAGTGGATAGTATGGGAAATGATGATATACCAGATCAAGATCTCATGGTCCCGTCATCCCGGGCCAACATGGTTTCTGGTCCTCTTAGTCAAAAGAGGTAGTTGACAAACCTAACAGGATGATCCTTATCGACAGCCATGGGTTTCTTCGTTCAAGGGTACTTTGTAGACCTAGAGTGAATATTTGCCTATCGAGACATATTTGAATCCACTTTAGCTAATAGAGGACTTTGTGCTCTATCAATCATATCCTATTGATTCATTACTCAAGATTTTTAAGTCATTGGGGAACGTACGGGCTTTAACCATGATCGTAATTTAATGGTGTCATTTGACAAAAAAACTACCCAGTTAGAGGGTTCTAGTTATAACCATTTACTTGTTGTGCCATTTGACAGCAAAACCATCGATTAGGGGATGCGTTCCATGTCCTTACTAGCAAAGAATGAATTCTAGTGATATTCTCGACTAGACATCTTTATGAGCTAAAGTTATTTTCAAACTTGTTGACCCCGACAAATTATCGTTGAGGGTGTATGAGTATTTTGATTTAGTTGTTTTTGAATTTTATTTTAATTTTAAACATTAATATCATTTATAAATACATTAAATTCAATTGAATGTATTTTAAATGTTTGGTGTCCCCTTGAGTTGAGATTTTTTGTCAATACGGGCATCTTTGATGTATTTATGGATATGATCATTTCATTAATTGGACCTTATCAACTATGTTTGCTTGCAAATAGAGGATTGAGTCAAGCTCCTAATTAATGGAATTACTATACAGTTATTGAAACCTTGGATATTCATTTTAACATGTGAATTTTCTTTGTAAGAGACCTTAAAGATCTAATACGAATGTATAAAACCAAATACTTCGATCGGAGCTACGATCATGTATTTTCTTGATGATTCAAGACATGTCAATTTTGATCCATTTAAGGAGACATATCAGACTTGAATTTAAGTTTTTATCTTTGACCAGCACAACATTCTCATACGTCACATATGTACATGCATCACGCTCATCGGGGCCCATACAAGTCTATATTTTTAAATGCATTTTTCATGATGTGCTTGTATTGTGGTTATATGTATGCAACATATCAGGTGCAAATGACATATTTGCATGTTTTTACACACGCTTATGCTTTCATCTACATGTTAAAATACTTATTTATGTACTTGTGTATTTTCATGTATGCATATACCTACTTACATGATATTTTGCATGTTGCACTTTGTGTTGATATGATGTGTAGTGGCCTATTGCACTAACATGGTGTATGATGTATTTGTATGATATATATGTATGATGCATCCATACATTACATGTATGTTTCTATAATATATTTACATGATAATTCAATGCCTTCATATAGTGCATAGTATATTCACATATTGACGTAGCACATTATTACTGTGCATCACATTTTACACATTGAATAATGTGCTTACATTATATATTTTAAGTTTTGTGATGCGTATATGCATGATGTGAATGCATTAGTGTGCATTTCAATGCATGGGGATATTTTTACTATATTCTGTCATAGCCAGCTATGCAAATGACCATCACCGACAAGCATACAAGGTCTTATTTTGGAATATGCAAACATGTTTTGTCCGCTTGTATGAGTGTTGTGGATATGGTGGCATGCTTCAATAGTGTATAACATCGCACTACAGGTTATCCATTGCTTTATGTAGGTAGGCTGTCGTGTAATGTAAGTTTTATTTAAAACTGCCTATAGTCCAGCACTAGGTATTCATGAGTCACCAACTGTTACATTTAGGTGAACTACACTAAGTGCGTATCTTCCAATGTTGCTTGTAGGAGGGTTCTAGCGCTATGTTACGGGTCACTC